CGGTCTTTTGTGTTGTCCTTCCAGCTTGCACGGTTGTGATGCGGGAGGGGGGGGGGCTGTGGTGTCCCACAGGATTTCTCCTTGTGGGTTTAAAAGTTGCGCACTTGAGTTGCGACTCGGGGAAGGAAGCCTGTTGGTGAGTTGCGTGGTGGTAACGAAACTGGAATGCCAAGGAGAGGGGGGGAGAGCGAGAGGGATTCAGCCACGCTTCGGGAGACGACGGGCCTCTGCTTGCCCAGATATGCTTACTTTTTTGAAGCATTTTCCCACAGTTATCAGTGAACGAAATGGAATCCTGGTCTGCTTTCAATATGAAACATATTTAGGCCGCCGTCCAAGACTGTGTCTATTTAAAAAAAAAACAACCAACCCTGTCTCCCCCCTCCCCCTTTCATTCAGAGGTTGCATGCTGAGCGAAGTCGTGAGAAATGAATTTGCTGTTGACTTTCTTTCTTTTCTTTTTTTTAAAAAAAGGGCGGCCTTATGCCTACACCTTGCAGTTGTTTGCTTTCCCTTCACAAAAGTCGCTTGTTTCTGGCAACGTTGAATTCCCTTCTGCCGCGCTGGTAGGACAGGACGGATACCGCCCGCGCGAACAGTTGACACGAGGTGCAAGACACAGTCAGACGCTTGAGTCGCACAGCGCTCTTCCTTGGTGCCTGAGTTCAGCATCTGGAGCGCTGTTTCCCTCCCACCCGGTGGACAGTGACCTGATGCTACCACCTGGTCACTGGGATCCTTGGCACTTTCTCTTGGGGCCTCGCAGGATCCCGCGGGGCCTGGCTCTTGTGGTCTTTCTCCTCAGAGGCAGGTGCTTAACATTGTGTCCCTCAAGGTCACGATTCCCCACTCCTCCTCCACTTGCACCTGGCTGGATGACCTTGGGCAAGCCGTAGCTCTGATAAGAGCTGTCCTTGAAAAAGAGCCGTTTCTGTCAGAGCTCTCTCAGCCCCACCTCCCTCGCAAGGGTATCTGTTGTGGGGAGGGGAAGGGAAAAGGAGATTGTAAGATGCTCTGAGACTCCCTTGGGTAGTGAAGGGCGGGGGTATAAATCCAATAATCTCCTCCTCCTCCTCCTCCTCCTGCAACTCTGGGGTCTTTGAGGAGCTGTGGGGGTCCAGGAGAGCACAGAATTCCACTTCTGTTTCGTGTGTCTTGTAAAGAGGTGTTTAATGGCTCTCAGAGTAATGTTTTGGATTCAGAGTAGTGTTTCCATGTTCCCGGGGGTTCCCCTCTCTCCCAAGAGCAGGATTTGGCAGAGACGCTGGACGGGATCCAACCTGGTGACATGTGCTTTTCCACTCAAGAGGTGCCGTCCTTTGGATTCACGGTGGTCTTCTCTGTCTCTGTACACTTTGATTCCGCCATTCCTTGATCAGGGTGGGAGCCTGGTTCTCTCCTCCATTTCACCCTGGCAAAAATCCGGTGTGGCAGGATAGGCGCGCGCGCGAGAGAGAGCCAGGGCGGGGAGAGAGCAAGAGAGGCCGGAGGTCACCCGGGGGATTCTGTGGCTTAGTGGGGCTTGGAGCGCCACTGTCCTCCTCGACCACACACTGGCTCTTGCAGTCTGCCATTAAAAATCAGTTGGCAAGGCGCAGAGTATTTTTGCCTTCACGGAATAATGTAGGGGAGGGGGGGTCCTTTTGAACTCCACGCTGTTCCCTTATGGGAGCGTTGTGCCGTCGGAGAGGTACAGGATCAGGATATGATCGGAGTGGGGGGGTGTGTCACTCAACCCGTTTTTACGTATCACCTGCCCAGTTAAGGCTAGGAGCAAAAAGGGGCTTACCTAAGAATAGCTGGCATCCTTGTATGGGGATTTTTTTTGGGGGGTTAGCATTTAGGAGTAAATTTACTGGGCATTTTGATGAGTTCCTAAGTGTGCAATAGCCCCCAGTGGTGCAATAGCTTCTTTCATTTCTTTCCCTGTATGGGGAGGGCTCTCTCTCTCTCTCTCTCTCTAGGAGGAGGAAGGCTCTCTATCTCTCTCTCTCTATCTCTCTCTCCTCCTCTCTCTCTGTCTTGATGCTGCTTTGTCCCTTTCTCCCCCTCCCCCTCCCCTTCCCCAATTCATCCTTTCCTTAGTTACCTGATACTTGTGGGAGCAGCGATGGCTTCGGGCAGACAAAAGCGTTCAAAGGGGGTGCTGAAAAGCAGGCTCTCTGGAGATTCTGAGCGCTGACGGTGCAGTCCTAGCAACCCTGCTTGGTGGCTCCCCCCCCTTCCTGAATGAGAAACGCTGAAATTTAGTGAATGTGCCCCCCCTCCTCTCCCCCCCCTCCCCCAGCCAAAGTTGTCTTCCTTTTGGGAAACCTTTTCCCCTCTACTGCTGTGCTTAACTCTAAAGCCCGGCTAAGTACGGCATCAGCCTGCGAAATGCTTGAACTTCCTGGTTAAGTATGTAAGATGCATTAGTGATGACAAAGATAAGGAGACCTTTCACCTCCAAATCGCTTCAGTCAGACTGGATCAGGTAGCTTAAGCAGCTGTGAGAAGGATCCCATTTGGCTAGGCGGTAATCTATGGGCAAAAGTTATCTTAAAAGAAGAGGCCTGGGTGTTATTGTCCCTTTGTTTGCCCCCCCCCCCCCCGTTAGGCGTTTTTAAACTGTGGTAACGCCTCAGACCAAGCGAGTGCCTGTCTCATAAACGCTAATGAGGTATCTGTTACTGTTTTGCAGAGATCCTACACGTTGCTAGTGGAAGCCTGGGATTACAGTAACGACAGTGTTCGTAAGTATGGATCGTCTTTCATTTTGTTTTCTCGGCCATGTTTCTTAAAAGCTGGTAGCAAAGGAAGGGGGTTATACTTCCAGGCAGTTTCCTGAGCCAAGTGGCATGTGCTCGTGGGAAAGGGCCCACAGGTGTGGAACAGATCTGTCTTGGCTTGCCTTCCCTGCAGAGAAAACCCTCTTGCCCTTCATTTCCTGAGGGCCCTACAGAAGAAGATCCACAACTGCCTAACTGTGGCAGTTCCTCCTGCAGCTTTGATGGTTGCATTTATGCATGGTGGGAGGGCTTTCTTTCCATATCACTCTTGAGCTGCCAGATTAACTACCTGGAGAGGGATTTTACCTACCTACACACTGTATGGCAGGGGCCACCGATGGATCGCGTTTTGTAGCTGTGGGTGTGCTGCAGACACCAAATGTTAATCAGAAGTGGTTCAAGTACATGTTGAGTCATGAGAACATCAGAAGAGTCCTGCTGGATCAGACCAGTGGTCCATCTAGTCCAGCATCTTGTCTCACTTGGTGTTTGGGGGGGTCAGCAGTGGGAGGGCTTCTAATGTCCTGGCCCCACTGGTGGACCTCCTGATGGCACTGGTATTTCTGGCCACTGTGTGATACAGAGTGTTGGACTGGATGGGCCTTTGTCCTGATCCAACATTGGCGTCTCTTATGTTCTTATGTTCTCACACAGTGGCCAGCCAGGTCCTTTGGACAGCCAACAACAGGGCATAGAGGCCGAGGCTTTACTCTTGTAAGAACATCAGAAAAGCCCTGCTGGGTCAGAGCAGTGGTCCATCTAGTCCAACATCCTGTCTAACGCGGGGGCCAACCAGTTCCTCTAGAGGGCCAACAACAGGGCATAGAGGCCGAGGCCTTTACAAAAACAAGAGAAGAACCCTGCTGGGTCAGACCAGTGGTGGACCTAGTCCAGCATCCTGTCTCACACAGTGGCCAGCCAGTTCCTCTGGATGGCCAACAACAGGGCATAGAAGCTAAGGCCTTCCCCTGATGTTCCCCTCTGGCTCTGGGATTCAGAGGATTAGTGCTTCGAATATGGAGGTCAGAAGGCGACATCTACAGATGGGCCTCAGAGCAAGTCAAGTTCTGGTGGTGGACCTCTGGAATAGGGTCTGGTGGACAAAAGCTGGCTGCCTACTGCAACAGGAAAACAATGGCTGCTCTGGTCTCATCTGCATAGGGGATTATGGTCTTCACAACAGGTAACCCAAGGATGCCATTTTTCAGGGAACCTCAAAAGTCCCTGCAGTGCTGCAGAAGGGATGACAGTAAACAGGAGCAATTTCTGGTGACCTGTGAAGAAATTGTGTTGGGACATGCACACCTGTCGTGTCTTGCTACAACACAATCCCAATTTTCTGTCTTGGCTCGTTCATACCATTGTCTCAGGCGTCATTTCTTTTGTCCATCCTCCCCCCCCCCCCCCACACAAATCATCCCAGATACTTTTCCACGGAGTTGTCTGTCATGCAAATAATATCAGTGGGTTCGGTTTGTAATCCACCATTGCAAGCGGCAGCCAGGACGATAGAGAACTAGCACTGGGGCTGTGAAAAGGCCCCGCACACTAGAAATCAAAGCTGCCTGTTTTTAAAAAGGACATCCATCAATGTCTCTTCCTCTAGAGGAGTCAGGTTTTGTCTGCAGCCTCCCGCCATTCTCGGCCTTTGGGAAGCCTTCCCAGGGAGCGCAGCGTCTGGAGAACTTCACCGCTGATGTTTAAAACTTCACGGTGCTTTGAACCTTGCTGTGAATGTTGGAACTTGGCTTGGAGTCAAAAGTAAATGGCTTTCAGAACCTCGCTGCTGTTGCTGGAGCGTTTTTACCATAAATGTTAAGTGGGGTTTGCTTCGCGTGACTTTTTTGCGCAG